CTGTCCTGCTGTCTGAGTGTTGGTGTTCCCCGTGTCCTGCTGTCTGAATGTTGGTGCTCCCTCCTTCCTGCTGTCTGAGTGTTGGTGCTCCTCCTGTCCTGCTGGCAGAGTGTTGATACCCACTCTGTCCGGCTGTTAGAGTGTCAGTGCCCCCCACCGCCCCCCTGTCTTGCTGTCGGGGTGTTGGTACTCGCTCTGTCCTGCCCTTGGGCTGTTGGTGCCTGCTGTCTTACTCTTGGAGTGTGGATGCCCGCTCTGTCCTGCTTTCGAAGTGTTTGTGCCCCTTCAGGTCTTCTCTCAGATTGTTGGTGCCCCCTCTGTTCTGCTCTTGGAATGTCGATGTCCCCTCTGTCTTGTTATTGAAGTGTTGATGTCCCCTTTGTCCTACTTTCTTACAGAGTTGTTGACCCCTCAGTCCTGTCCTTGAAATGTTAGTATTTTTTATCCCAGGATGGAGTGTATTGCAATGTGGAATTGTTCCTCATTCCAGAGTCTGGTTCCACCTTCTGTTCCACACTGAAATTTTTTCTCTCAACCCCAAATTTACTGTGTGGTACCATTGAGTGTTGGTTTATTTAATGACTATTTTGATCTCCTCTGTTTATTCACAGAACTCAAGGCAGCTCATTTCCAGGTAAGTTCCTCTCAGTCATAAAGTAGCTGCTCATAGGAAATCTTCCCCTGTATCTGGGAGAAGAGTGAAAGTAGAATCATGGCTTGAAACCCTTCCCAGATACAGTGTTTTCACATGGTGGGAATATTGAGTGTGTTTCACTGTATTTCTTTATCATGCTTATGAGTGTAGCTGTTTTGGTCAGCATTTATTGCCCATCCCTGGAGGAGTGGTGGTGAGCTGTCTTGAATGCCACTGCACATCTTCAGGTGGAGGTATACTTATAGTGGAGGTATATCCGTGCATCTGCTGTCATATACATTTAGGTCCTAAAGGTCATGGTTTTGGAAAGTGCTGTTCATGGAGCCATGGTAAGTTGCAGCATTGTATCTTGTAGATTGTACACACTGCTGCTACTGTGTGTCCATGGTAGGGGGAGTGAACATTGAAGGTGCTGTGTGAGATTCCAGTCAAGCAAAATGCTTTGCCCCGTTTTGTTTTGTTGGAGCAGCACCCATTCAGGCATAAGAAGATTATTACATTACACTCCTGACCAATGCTCTGTAGATAGTTCAGGCAGTGGGGAGACAAGGTGACTTACTTGCTGCAGAATTCCTTGTCCCTGACCTGCTCATTTAGCCATTTACGTATTTATGTGGTTGGTCCAGTTCAGTTTTTGGATAATGGTAACTCCCTAGATGTTGATAGAAGGAGATTCAGTGACGGTAGTGTCATTGAACATTAAAGGACAATGTTTAGATTCTATCTTATTGGAGGTGCTCATTGAATGACACTTGTATGGCATGTGTGTTACTTAACTCTTACCAAGAAAATTTGAATGTTGTCCAGGTCTTGCTGCATATGGACTCAGATGAACTTCAGTAATTGAGGAGTCGTGAATTCTGCTGAACAATGTGCAATCATCAGCAAACATCCTCACTTCTGACCTTATGATGGAGAGAAGGTCATTGATGAAGTTGCTGAAGATGAGGTTGGACCTTGGACATTACCCTGAGTATCACCTGTAGAGCCGTCGTTGAACTACAACTATTAACCTCTAGCAACTACAAGCTTTGTGATAGGTGTGACTCCAACCAGTGGATATTTTTCCCTGTTTAGCTTGGTCTTCTTGATACCTCACTCAGTCTGATGCTGCCTTGATATCAAGGTATTTACTCTCATCTCACTTCTTGAATTCATGGACTAAGACTGTGATGAAGCCAGAGGTTCAGTGATCAACACAGAATGCAAACTGAGTGTCCATTAGCAGCAGTATATTGATCCATGAGTGCTCTTTGATAACACTGTTGAAGATGCATTTCATCATTTTATTGTTGAAGATTGAGAGGAAATTGCTAGGCTGCTAGTTGGCCAAATTGGATTTGCTATGGCTTAGCGGCATACCTGCACAATTTTCCATATTCAAAAACAGAAATTGCCGGACACATTCAGCAGGTCAGGCAGCATCTGTGGAGATAAAGCAGAGTTAACATTTCAGAACCCTTCTTCAGAACAGTTCTGGCGCTGAAACATTAACTCTGCTGTCTGTCCATAGATGTTGTCAGACCTGCTGAGCTTTCCCTGCAATTTCTGTTTTTGTTCCTGATTTCCAGCACCTGCAGTTATTTGATTTTTTTTGTTTACAATTTTCTTATTGACTGATAAATATCAAAATGTAGCTCTAGTGGAACAACTTGCATACCTGCACAACTCATTCTAGAGCACAAATCTTAAAGTTCTGTTGCGGAATATTGTAGCCTTTGCAGTATCCAGTGTCTTCAGCTGCTTCTTAATATCATGGCAAGTAATTCAAATTAGGGAATCGTAGTTTTGCTGGTGCTATTGGCCCACCGTGTCAGAGACGTGGCGGTCAGTCTTACTGACACTGACATGGATGAATACATCCGTGACATATAGATTGGAGGGGATGAGGTCGAGTTGATTTTACTTCTTGTTGGTACCGCGATTACCTGCTGCAAACCCAGTCTAACAGCCATGTCCTTTAAACTCAGCCAGCTTGGTCAGTAATGGTGTGACCAAGCCACTTTTGGTTGTAGACGTTAAAGCAACCTGGAGTCCATTCTGTGCCATTGTTGCCCTTAGTGTTTCATTCAGTTGGTGAACAACATGGAGGAGTATTGAGTCATCAGCCAACAGGATTGCTTTATGTGGTAATCAGCTGAAGATTTCCTTGCCTATGATTGAGAACTTCAAACACAACTCCCAACCAACAGTATTCCAGGTGTCATTGCCTGTTGTGAGTTTGTTCTGCCAATGTGGTAGACATAGCCAGGGATGTTGTCTGGGACATTGTAAGATATGATTCTGTGATAATGACTATGTCAGGCTGTTATTTGTCTAGTTTGTGGCACAGTTCTCCCAGTTTTGACACAATTCCCCAATTGTTTCTAAGGAGGACTTTAAGGCGTCAACTGGATTGGGTTTTTATTGTTGTTTCTGGTGCCTAGGCTGATAGGCACATTGGGTTTCATTCCTTTCTTTAAATGTTGAAACAGTTTTGTTACAACTGAGTGACTTGCTTGGCCATGTCAGAGGACAGTTAAAAATCATCCAGAATGTGATGGATCTGGAGTCATATGGACCAGACAAGGTAGGGATGACAGATTTCCTTCCCAAAAATAAATTACTGATTTGTAACAATTGAAAAAGATTATGGAGTAGCCATTTGACTAATTGATAATTCCAGATTTTTACTTTTATGGAATTCAAATTTCAATATCCTAGGTGATTTGTCTGAGACTTTATGATGACCCCAACAAGGCTGGGACGTAGAGGCCTTGTCAATCATTATGGCCAGGCCACATTTAAATTATCTTCATCAGATTCCTGCTCAACAGCTGGTGAATGACACTTGGCCAGAGGATGAGAGTGAAACAAATGGCAGGGGTCAACAGAGGATCCACAGGGGTGTCCCCATCACTCAGAGAAGGAAACAGAAACTCAGAGGCTCCATGGGGAGGTTGTGAATGGGAAATTAAGGTTGGAAGATTAGAACTGGAGGAGGCCAAAGGCTCCCTATAATGCCTGGGAGTCTCCTGTTCCTCCTAGCCCACAGCAAATGCTAAAAGAAGCTGATCTTTAGCACTGATCTTGGCTAGTCCATTCCTGCAGTCTCTGATTTGCTGCCAGGCAGATGATGGTGCAGGCCTTACCCAACTTCCTCTCACATTCCAGTCACCATCTCAATGATATCATCATTTCGAATGTTAATTAGACCCTGATAGTCTTTCACAGGAGCCTTGTCGATGTCCTGACTTACGTTAAAATTGAAATGGGTGCGAAAGGGGTCAGGTTACTTGATCCTGATGAGGCTCCAGTACAGCAGAATGAGACTGAGATAACAAGGTGTAGAGCTGGATGAACACAGCAGGCCAAGCAGCATCAGAGGAGCAGGAAAGCTGACGTTTCGGGTCGAGACCCTTCTTCAGGAAAAT